ACGCAGTGAAGCGGTACGAAGGAAGGAGCCACGCAAGCAGCACAAACCGGCGACAAAGTATGTCTGAGTAACATTTGCGCATACCAAAAACTCTGACCCTGCCAACATCCACAGGACCACAGGGTGATCCAAGGAAAAGCAGGAGCGGCTCCGGTTAAGAAAAAAGCCTCTTTCTCTTGAATAGAGACATAGTAATCTCCAGGAAACTTAATTTAGCTTCAGTTTTTCAGTAATTGGCTAAAGGTGGATGAGTTCAAGAAGTCACTCATAGAAATCAAGAGAGTACCTTTAGCGTTGAATTGCGGTGCGACTACTGTAACGAGAGCCTGACGTCATTCGATGAGGAGACGATTTCGTTGTGTCTGATCGCTGTCGAGACGTTTTTGCATCGGGAACCCGTCATGGCGGCGCCGATTCTCTTCTCACTGCTTCATACTGTAACTCGGTAAGAAGGCTGGCGGATCTACCATACTGTTTGAGCAATTCTGCCAAAACTGTCACAATTGATTTTAGGTTGATTGACCACCCAATCTATCCATGGCACGATTCGGAGATGTTCGTACCGGGAAATTGTCGCAGTGTTGCCAAGCAAATGCTACGAGTCACTCTTCATCAGGTAGGATGGCAGGGGAAGTTTCAGTGGATGGGATGCGCCATGTACTTGGTTTCCGTCAGCCTGATGTTCACTGCTGTTTCTTCGTGCTGTAATAAATATCGTGTCAGCTATTTCTAATCACCGCTGTATTCCTCCGTTCCTTTTTCCCTCCCCTTCTCAAACTGTAGCTTTTCTTCCCCTTTCTTCCGGATTAAGATAGAGGAGGAGGCGGAGTGGTAAAACACCTCCTCAGGCTGTTTGCGATCCTGTTGAGGTGAACAAACCAATCGGCTCTCCTGGCTAACGTTCTAGGTAACAGAAACGCTTGGAAAAGTCATGACACGGTCAGCAGTTCTCTTTCCAAAATTCCAACGTTTAGTCTTGAGAGGATTCAAGCCAATATTGTTTGATTTTGGAAACAAATTCATAAGAGAGTCCGTTTTTGAGGCCAAATCACCAACGTCGGCAAATCCTTTCTTTCCTTTGTTTTTTCTTCCTGTCACCTCTAAGTATAGACAAAATTCGGCGCTATCGCACGATAGTGGGCACCGTGGTGGCAACGAATCGCAAATCGCGTAAAAGATCCCCTTGTTGTCAAAAGGGGGTAGCTTCAGGCGGTGAGGAGAGTCTTTTGGGGGTGTGAGCGAATTTTCTTCATTTCCCAAAGTTCCTACTCCCTCAAGGGCTGTCCTTGGTATGACCCGGCATCTTGCAGATAGCGCCCAATTCTTATTAGCATCTGTGATCAAGCTACCCAAACAAACTATTAATAATTTGCAGTATCCTGTCTGGAATTTGTAGTGCAACTATTCGGACAGCACCGCTTTCCGCACAGATTTCGTTTTGGAAAGTTGCTCTCTGGATTGTCACTGGCAGACTTCAGGAACTCTCTCCAGTCTACTTCATCCAACTTCTTTTCGAAGTGAGTTTATATCCTATTTTTTTGGAATTCCTTGAAATTTGGACCTCTTCTGAAACTCTCTCAGGACCTTTCCGAGAATTGGCCTACCACGTCTCTCAACTACAATGCGCAATTTGGCCGCATACATCGTTGAAGTGCCATCTGATGCTTACATCAACCATTGGAGTACGCCATCACTCACATGGAGTCATTTTTCAGGCGATACATACTCAGGTTACATTGTTGATGGATAAAGGAGGCCTTCCTTACAGGAATAATAGGCCCTAATTCAGATCTCGGTGGAAGGCGCAGCGAAGCCGTCACGGTCCGAAGTGGAGAGCGCCATCGTCGTCATGAGCCACGTGCTGAAAGTGCAGAATTTCAGTGCATTCAAGGAAGCTTTTGAAATTTATAGAGCTTTTTTGTCATCAGATTTCTGTAGAGGTTGAGCTTCGAATAGCTTATGAAGAGCCTAATCTTTTCGTTTCCAGTCAGCTGTTTCTTTGGTGGACTCGTTCTGTAAATGGCTCGCTGAGGCACTACACGAATGTCCAGTGAAGCTGGAGAGCCTGCTGACAATATGCACAGCTTGCAATAGAGCTCTAATTCGGGTGCGGTCATTGATCGATAATTGATTAGCTGCCGATAGATTTACATTTCAGTTTACATTTAGTTTAGTTTTTTTGAATAGTTTCAATTTCCTAAAATTTAGTAGTTTTTAGGAACGAGATAAACAAAGCGTTTCCCGTGCTGTGGTTGCAGAAATGATTCAAGCCATTAAATTCAAATGTCCCATGCATGAGGCGAACTTTATCACCATAGCACATTTGATCCTTCAAGATGCTGGCGAAGGTCACTTGCCCTTTGGGTTCCCATTTTTGGCACTGATACAAATACATTTTCAGACATCGAAATGAACATACAAGACGATCAGTTCAATACGGCCGCTTCGGAGGCTGTGCGACCGTTCCTGTTCGAAATACTCGACTTTATCGCCGATCTGCACGTGCTAGCTAAGCTCAAGGTGACGATTACTGTGGTCATTTTTCATCCCTAAACTCCTCTCGAGATGAACCTGAAGGAGATCCTTTTGAGAGATGCGCTCGTCTTATCGACCTTCTTTGTTTGTTTTTGAAGCCTTCGTCTCTATTTATTCGCTCAGTTGATACCCAACAAAAAGAGGGACATCTTGAAAACAAACCCACCCCACATAAAAAATCTTCGTTCATAAAAGAAAGAATTGGTTAAAATTCGAATATTTGAAATTGAGACCGGGTAAGCTTTTCCACGGGGACATCTCATTCGCCCCACTGTGACAGAAACTGATTTTGAATAATTATTCACGTTATGAGATGGAGGATATTTCAGAAAGAAACGAATTCGGATTCGGTTGGAGGAGATCTGAAAGGTGAAGCTGGCAGAAGCGATCGCCGTCGAAATGAGTCGGTCGAATGCTCGTGACTGCCGCACTGTCATTCGATTCATTCCTTGGCTGATGAGTCCACCGAGTGTCACTCAGGTCAGTTGTGCGACGGTCTGACAGAGCATCCATACGCAGATGCGCCCAAAATCCTCTGGCCAGCTTGAGGAAGCCCACAGGCAGCTAGAATCCAGTTAGAGGGGGACGGGGCAATCCATTACGTCTACAATGGTTGTTTTCCCTATGATAGGGATTAGATGGTTCGACTTCGATCCACTTGTTTC